TTTTATTTATTTTTAGAGAGATGAGAAGGGAGGAAGAAAGGGAGAGAAACACTGATATGCAAGAGATACATCGACAGGTTGCCTCTCACACACCCCCAACCGGGGACCAGGCCCGCAACACAGGCACGTGCCCTGACTGGGAAGTGAACCAGCGACCCCTTTCATTCGCAGGCCAGAGCTCAATCCACTGAGCCACACCAGCCAGGGCCAATGAAGGTTTCATAGGACACTTCAACCTGATCTTACAGGGAGGCAAGTCAAAAGCAAAAAGCAGAGAAAGACTGCTTGCTTGGGTAAGGGGACTTTTGACCAGTGGCTAAAAGACAAAACTAGTTTTTAAAAAACTTTAGTTATTAAAGTATTAAAACTTTAATAAAAGTATTAATACACAAAGCTAGAGAAGTTGGGTGAAAAGCATCTGCACTAAACATCAGAATTCCAAAGGACTCATTCATCAGCTTCCCACCAAGCTATGTGCCAGAAACTGTGCTGGGCATCAAAACCGTGACCAAGCTAGACGAGACACCCGCTCCCACTGAGCTGATACTATGGTGGCAGAGATGGACAAACACCAAAACCAAAAATTGAAAACGGTGATCAATGTCAGTGGATATAAGGAATTAAAGAGGGGCAGGGAGGTTTGGGGAAAGCATAACTTGCATTGGATGGAGAGGGCAGGCCTCTCTCACGTGGAGGCATCTGAGCTGAGACTTACATGAGCCGGCCTTGCAGAAACCTAGTTCCAGCCTTCCAGGCAGAGGGAACCACAGACAAAACAGTTTATTCGGGGAAACTCGCAAGTTGGCCTGTTTTCCTCCCTTTCAAATAATTGCCCCTCACTCTTCCAGTAGAATTTATATTTTGTTCAAGTGATATTTTAATAAAATTCCTGCTCTTGTGCTTATTTTACATAGCTAGACACCTCTTCATTCGTCAGTATCAGGTCTCTGCCAGAAAGCCCTAAGCCACCCATGATGCCTGAGCTGCAGTTTTTATTCCTGCCACCAGAGGCCACTCTTGCAAATGTTTCTGAAGCCGACGGCCCCACCCCGGCCAGAGAAATTAAAACTGTGCTTGGGGTGGGAAGGTAAGTACCACAAACTGCCCCATTTTGAAGATGAAGAAACTGAGGCCCAAAGAAGTTAATAAATTCGCCTGACACCCTATAACTACTTTACAGCACAGCAGGGACTAACCCTTCACATGAGTTACTCAGTCTCAGGTTTGGCACTCCCTTACCCTGGAGAGAACTTTTTTCTGGAGGCCTTGACTATTTTTAAAGGAAGATTTTTGCCTCCTAGCTAGAATCCAGGGGTGGTAGAAATTTCAGGCCATCCCATACAGCATTTGGGTGTCTGCTACCTAGCAAATAAACTAAGCTGCCAAAACAGAAGTGTTATTAGTCCACAAGAAGGGAGCTGGGTCCTTTTAATCACTCACCCAACCCTCCCTCCCAGTTGGTAAAAAAAAAAAAAAATCAAAACCATGCCCCCATCCTTACCCTCAACTTTACCCTCACTTCCCACACTTAAGGGGGTGGAGTGGGGTGAGCTGTGGAAAGCTGTAATAAATGACAGAAAGAGGGCAACAAGAAGAAAGGGCTCATCTGAGTCTGTGACTGATTATAAACCCAGATTCTGCCATGTTTCATGCTGAGTGGCCTTAGCAAAATGTTTAACCTCTCTGGGCCTCAGTTTTCTCTACTGGAACATGAAGGATACCACCGCTGATCAAGCCTACTTCTTCCGGAGTTTGTGAGGAGGAGAACGACATTTTGAAAGCAAAAAAACAACGCAAGTCTAAGGAGCTTCTTATTTCCACGCACACAAGCGAGAAGACAAGTATTTGCTAAACAAACAGAAGAGCTCTAACATGACCACAGAAGCCAAGGAGAAATGCAAAGTCTTGAAAAGGACGGGCAGACACTGCCCTTTAAGTCTAAAACAGGGATTTCTTTTCAAACTAGCACAAAATGTTTTTCAAATAACCCTTCCCTGTGCCACTTCCAGCAGAAGTAATGGGGCAACTGGACTTTTCAGGGGCTTGTCACGTAAGTAAGGAACAAGAGCGGCCCTCATTTATCACACTGCATTCCTTTCCCCAGGTGGCCCGAATCTGGGCAGTGAAAGTTGGGACAAGCATGATTGGACTTGCCAAGGGTGGCGGCCTGAAAAAATGAAAAGGGGCTTTTTCACATCACTTGATGCACAACGTTTAACCTGCTTTGGGGCATCTCATCTTAATGGTGGCTAAGCCTCAATCTACCTTTGGGAAGTGACAGAAGTGGAAGCGTGGCCAACAGACAGCCCCAACCTGAATTTCTAGGTGCTCATTAAGGGTCATTATCTTGCCAGGCAACCTGATCCTCTGGGCTGATAAACCAGAAATTACAGGACAGCGGGGATCTCCAGCACGGGGTGGGACTCTGGGAAACTCACTTCAAACCTGGCTAGGGCTGGCCAGTGACTGGGGGCCATGATGACCACTAATGCCAGAATGTAGGAAAGTAAACATGAATGGCAAACTGTTGACACTAGAGGATCAGTACATGGGATTTGGGTATATTTGGATATTTTCACAATAAAAAAGTTAAAGAAACAAACAAACAAAAAGCCAGCCCTGGCTGGTGTGGCTTAAGCACAGTGGAATGAGCACAGGCCGATGAATCAAAGGGTCGCCAATTCAATTCATGCCAGAGTGCATGCCTGGGTTGTGAGTCAGGTCCCTCCCTGGCTGGGGGCAAGTGAGAGGCAACCAATAGATATTTCCCTCCCTATCTGTCTCCCTCCCTCCCCATCTCTCTAAAAATAAATAAATAAGATCTATAGAAAGTAAGAGAGGGAGGGGAGAGGGAGGAAAGAAGGAAAGAAAGAAGGAAGGAAAGAAGGAAGAGACTGTTTTTTAAGTCAGTGTGTCCACCTCCTTTCTTAAGCCTGTCACTTGGTCTAAAAATCAAATCCCAATGATAAGAGCCAAGAACCCAATGGCCATCTCTCTCTTTTTTTTCCGTTTTAAAAATATAACATTTTTAAAAAGATTTTATTTTATTTTTTAGAGAAGGAAGGGAGGGAGAAAGAGAGAGAGAGGGAAACATCAATGCGGGGTTGCTGGGGGTCATGGCCTGCAACCCAGGCATGTGCCCTGACTGGGAATCAAACCTGCGATGCTTTGGTTCGCAGCCTGAGCTCAATCCACTGAGCTACGCCAGCTAGGGCTCCAATGGCCATCTCTTAATGGGAAAATCTTTTCACTGCAACAATATTATTATCATCATCATCAAAAACCACAATCTCAAGATGAAAAAAAAAATTAAATAAAACTACAACCTCAACTAATAGCTTCAACTACCTTGATCTAATTTTTAAATATTTCTAATGGGTGCAGAAACATTGTAGTCAGCTCTATTCTAAGCACTTTACAAATATCAACCCCAAATCTCTCTGACATTGGCACTATCAGTATTCCCCTTTCACTGTGGGAAAATTGAGGCAACTAATAAGTAAGTGGCAGAACTGGGACTGGAACCCTGGGCAGCCTGAGTGTTCGGGCTCCTAACCACTCTTTCTCCTGTCTCTCTCTACAAGCCAGAACTCTTGCACTGATTCAACTTCCCCACCTCCCATCCTTTACGTGGGCATCACTATCTGCATTTCCTTTGCCCTAAATTATGTGCTGGTGAGTTAAGGGACTGAGCTGTTTTCCCCACTGTGCCCTTATGCAAAACAAGGATATGCTTTCCAGCAATAATAAAATGGAATATTTAAAGAAAAAAACAAACATGAAAAAGACATTCCAGGACAGTATGGAATTCTCCGCACCAGGAGGTTAACAGTAATTTGGGTGGAGGGAAATGGGGGAGGAGTAGGAGGCAGTTTTCTTTTTGTTAAACATGTTTTCCTTACACATTTTGTATTACACTGTGCATCACAATTACAGCTCAATTACTTTTTTTAAATGACAAAAACAAAAGTGACTTTAAAAAGTTTCTTTAACACATCGGGATTTTGTGTATTATTCACCCTGCAAGCATCCCATTGTCTGGCTTATTTGGCAGAAGTAGAAGCTTTCACCAGAGGACCCTGGAAGAGATGGCTGAAGTTCAAATACAAATTAAACTTGTGAAAAGCTTTGGGTCCTGGGGCAGCTTTGGGCACTCAGCAGCATTCTTTGCTTAGAATTGCTATCGTGCCACAGAGCAGCCCAGTTTAAAGGATTCTTCTCCCACCCCAGCCCGGCCCAGCCCCATAACTAGAATGTGAATGGGTAGGAACAAAACCGTCTGAAAAGCCTGTATAAGTTTTCAGATGTGGAGATTTCAGGATGGGGGCTGCTATCAAAGCCAGTAAACTGCAGCTGAGTTATTTGGTAACTGGTGGGATAACCCAGTCTCTCAGAAGCGACCATCTGAGAGTAGTGTCTTCCCCACCCGCCACAGAAAGGCGTGCATTATGTGGATTGTTTCCCTCTTGTCAGAACGCATTTCCCACAGCTGGTACCAAAGAACACGGCATTTAGCTTTACTTCACGGACCATCTGAACTGGAGCGCTCAGCCTCAGGAGGAGAAGTTCACACTAACAACTCGAGGGCTAGATTAGGGAGACTTCTGAGGCCCCTGTGTCGGGGGGGTCACATTGCCATGGTGTACCCCCAAACCAAGAGCTTCAGTTTCTAACTTAAATAGTTAGGATAAAGACCAGAAGTTGAACTTGATGGACAAAAAGGAACCCTGGGAAGAGAGGCATGTGTCACTTAGCTAGGCAGGGGTTTCTTTTTCACTGGCTGGGAACAGTGTGTCCAACTCCAACCACAAAGCCATAATTCTCCACAGTTACCACTACCTATAAAATTTCTTTCTAGGTTCCCTTTTCTTTGATGGCACCAGGTGGTTCCGGAAGATCTTCCTTTGATGGGTGTCCATGAAATGAGTGAACATTACGGGTTTACTGAACACCCATGCTCAGCAGAAAATACAATTTTATGTTTAAAAAGTGGGAGGGGGAGCTTTGTGCAGTGAGAGTATGGTAGCCAATGAGGTTTATCCGAGGTAGTTATTGCTAATTGAAAACTAAACAGTGGGAGGGAAATCCTCCTATTTGTCCACCCTCAGGATGTTGAGGAGATTCAAGTTGCATCAGGAAGACTATCTTTTTAGCCCCAGTAAGTCTCAAACGTCTGTGTCTATTTGCTACAGGAGAACTATGAACAGAACACAACCTAATGGCCTTACTGGATACAGCAGCCCTGGGCTGTAGGAATTTAGCAGCCCTAGCTTATAAATGAGGAAACGGAGGCTCACACAGCCATCCAGTGGCAGAGCCTGTGGTCTGGTGCCACTATCAGGACTTAGTCACCAAGCAGACACTTCATATTGATAAGCCATTTTGCAAAAAAATTACTACTTGAGTGGACACCGGAAGTGAGCTCACACAAAAGAGCAAGACAAACGGAGAGCAGCTGCAGTGATGACAGCAAAGTTTCTGGTCTCCATCTTCCCCTTACACACGCTCACTCCCTCTCTCTCCTTGAATGAAGGCTGCCATCCCTTGGAATTCCCGTTCCCAGCCTCAGAAAGCATTAATGACAGCCAGAAGCCAAGTGAAAGAGAAAGTAGTAACCTTCGGATTTAAGAATATTTTCCTCTAAGTCACCACGTTACATTAGCTAAAATGAGTCAGAGTTTCTTAAAGCCCAAACATTTTTTTCTGGGAAAGATAAGCAGCTTGGAAGATCATGTTGCATAAGCACAAGCCAGGCTTGCGACCACAAAGCCCAGGTGATGGGCTCCAGGGTTTGCCTGCGGCACCCACATCAGTCCGATCTCCCTTGTTGACAAAGCGGCTCCCCGGGGACTTCCCGGGGGTGGGAAGTGTACTCTCCCGAAACTTACTGAGGTTTTTCTCCCAGCCTCCCAACATGTCCTTGCCCAGAACAAATTTTAAGTGGTCTCTGTCTTCACTTAACTTGCACACAACTGACAGGTGTCATCAATGAAGGCTGCCTAGACAGGAAGCAAAGAGCAAAGTCCCCGTTGCTTTTGTCGCCATGGGAGCCGGTTGAGGTGGAGGCCAGGGCGGAGTGTCAGTGCAGAGAGCAAACAGTGAGGGTACAGGTGAAGAAAAAATGAGCCCAGGCCCCTGCGAGGGGCAGTCCACAAGGATGAAGGGGTGATGCATCACACTTGGGTGTCCCCCTTTGTCTCGAGGTGATTCATGCGGTCGGGGCCACTCTGGCAGTGCGTGTTTGCCAGAAACCAGTCAGGTTTCTGCCTGGGCTCACGCTGCTTTCGTTCTTGAACAGCGAATACCATGGATGTTGATCAGAATCAGCCCAGTAACAAACGTCATCGGTGGCACTTGTGGGGTCGGTGAAAAGCCAGTGCAAATACTTTTATACGTTTTACATTTAATGGGGTCATGCCAATTTGGATTCAAATCCCAGGTGTGCTTTTCACGCGCCACTGCAGGCCAATCAGTTTGACCTCCCTCGAGCGTCAGCTTCCCCATTCTTAGAGGGGTTGCTTCAAGGACTGTTTCAACGAGATATGTTTTTTAAGATTTTATTTATTTTTAGAGAGGGGGGAAGAAAGGGAGAAAGAGAGGAAGAGAACCATCAATGTGAAAGAGAAACATCGATCGGCTGCTCCTCTCATGTGCCCCATTTGGGGACTGAACCCGCAACCTGGGCACATGCCCTGACCGGGAATTAAACCAGCAACCTTTTGCTTTGTGGGACAATGCCCAACCAAGCTGCACCGGTCAACAAAATATTAACTGAACTCTTCCTACTCTTTGTCAGGCGTCATTCCGAGGCTGGGAAATACAGCAGTGTACAGAGCACCATCCCTGCCCTCACGGGGCTGACATTCCAGTGGGCCTAGTCAAGCACTGCTCAGCTGCTACTACTGTGAGCTGGGGTCCATGGCTAACGACCCTGGCGTGAACACATCAGGTACTGGTCCCCTGGCCTCCTGGGGCTGACATCCTCGTGGAAGGGAAGGTAATGAGCACAGGGATCCCACAGGCCTGTGAGTGGTGAGGGTTCCTGCTCTCCCTGTCTAGAAGGGCGTGGCCTCCGCCTTCAGATCAAGGCCAGAAAACAAGTCATTTTCCATCCCAGGCCTCTCCTGGACAGTTCAGAAATGGCCAGCCCCCAATGACAAAACCTTGCCTAGTTTGATCTCAGCATTCCTGCCTGGATGGGGCTCCAGTGGCTCAGCTGAGGCTGTTTCTTGGCTCAAATCTGAGACCAAGGGCTTAGCTTTAGTTTTCCAAGGTGGACGCTATCTGCCAAGGAACCTCACCTTAGTTTGTTCAAACAAGGGAAGAGGGGGAAGTGACGAAGCTCCATTCTAACTGGGAGTTGGCTCTGGCCAGCTACAGAGGTTGGAGGGGGGGCTTCTACCCTGTGACAGCAAGGAAAGCGCATTTGGTTTCATCGAAAAGGACAGAGAGAACGGGGAGGCCCTCTGGCTTCCACACTGAACTGGGGTGTTATTGTCCCAGCTCCTGGCTGCATGTCGAGTACACAAACACGAGCCTGCCTGTCTCAACACAGAGAAGATCATTGATCATTCCCATGACCTGCAACCCAGGAAGCATTCCTGTGGCAAGGTTGTACAACCCCAGGAACTGTTTGCTTATTGATTAAAAAGAAAAGGCCCCCTATTACACCACAACACCTGTCCACTTTTCCTTTCTGTGGCGTTTCCCAAGGCCAGGTAGGGCCCCATATTCTGAAATTCCAAAGCAACTGAACGGCTCCTATTTCCAACTCCTGCTGACCCCTCAGAGAAGGGGCAGCTGATGGGCCTGGGGTCAGGGACCAGGTCCTAGGTCCTTGGAGAGTTAATTGCTCATTTGTGAGATAAAGCACCTGGACCCATACACCCGTAAGATCATTTCCAACCCTAACCCTAACCCTGATGTGTGAGAGAAACATCGACAGGCTGCCTCTCGCATGCACCCTGAACAGGGACTGACCCAAGACCCGAGCATGTGCCCTGAATGCATCTTGAACCAGAGACCCTTCACCTTGCAGGATGACACCCAGCCAACTGAGCCACACCAGTTACAGCGCTACTATACTTTTAAGGACCTTCTTCCCTAACTTTGTTCTTTCTTTACCATTTGCCCATTAAACAACAACAACAACAACAACAACAACAACAACAACAACAACAAAAATCAACCTAGTTATTAGAATGGATAAAATATGGTATAGCTACTCAGCAATAAAAATTGTAACTGCAAGAGTATAGATGAACCTTAACAGCATTACGCTAAGTGAAAGAAAAAGACAAAAGACTACCCGTCCAGGAGATTGGAGTTAGTCTGGGGCAAGGCCCATTCCTGGGTAGGTTTTTAAAAGTGCATGACAGGCCCTGGCAGGGTAGCTCAGTAGATTAGAGCACCGTGCTGATACACCAAGGCTGTGGGTTTGATTCCCACCTGGTCAGGGCACACACAAGAAATACAAGAATCAAGCACTGAACGCATAAACAAGTGGAATAACAAAGAAATTGATGTTTCTCTCGCCCTGTCAAATCAATAAATTGAAAAAAAAATTGTTGTAAGTGCACCAAAAAGCACATATTCCATTTATATGAAAACCATGATAAAACAGGTCAGTTGTTGCCTGGACCCAGGGGTGGGTGTGGGGCTTGGTTGCCAATAGACACCAGGGAACTTTGTGGGGTAATAAAAATGTTCTGAAACTGGATTGTGGTGATGATGGCCAGGCAGCTGAGTGTGTTTATAAAAATTATCTTAAGGTATACTTACGGTGGGTAAATTGTGTGGTTTGTAAGTAACATCCCAATGAACCTGTGATGAAAATAGTTACTAGGATCTTCTGTGAGGAGGACCCCATGAGTCAAAGTCCCATGGTTCAAAAACTACATGATCTGCCCTGGCTGGTGTGGCTCAGTGGATTGAGTGCTGGCCTATGAACCACAGGGTCGCTAATTGATCCCCAGTCAGGGCACATGCCTGGGTTGAGGACCAGGTCCCCAGTCGGGGGCATGCAAGAGGCAACCACTCATTGATGTTTCTCTCCCTCTCTTTCTCCTTCTCTTCTCCTCACTCTCAAAATAAAAATAAATAAAAATCTAAAAACGACATGATCCATGCACCCAATAATGCCAGGGTCAGAGCTATGAAAAAGTGGGAAAGGAAAAGAGAAGCCATAAATACACATAATTAACAGTAATTAGAAGAGTAAATAAATATCCAACATAATGATAGTCATTATGTGCAGGCATTGTGCTGAGCTCTTCACAAACACTGGCTCCTAAGCTGCTGTGAAGCCGGTGGGGTCCTTTAATCCCTTTGGTGCTGACGGGCCTGAGGCCCAGAAAGGCTGAAGTCATTTGCTCAAGGTCACACAGCCAGTCTGTGAAGTAGGATTCACACCCAGAACCAACCAGCCCATGTTGGTTTAACGGCTCTGCCTTGAGGCGGGAGAGAAGCTCCACAGGTAGAAACAAGAGATCAAGGAAAATCCATGCTGGGCACAAAGGTAGTTTGCTTAACAGCACAGACTTAGTTTTCTGGGGTGGGGAGAAGAAAAGGTAACCCAGATATAAATATGTGCCAATCTGGAGGGCAGCGTTTCCCAAGAGCTGGCTGATACAGAAATGTGCTACGCTGGCTGTGGAAATAAGAAAAGCTGTTGTGGACTTAGAATTTTGGATCATTCAGTAACTGGAGATCAAAGCCTGGAAATCTCTTCTGCAATACAAAGAACTAATGAGAGGCTGGCACCTTTTCCAAATGTGGGTTTTGCTAGAAAACTTGGGCCCTCTGCCTCAGATGTGTGGCACTCCTCACTCGGCCCAGAAGAACAGCTGGGAGCCCAAGCTTCAGAAGTCAGGCATTTCCCAGAGTCTCGGGGTCACATGCACTCGCAGATGACTCCAAAACAAGTGCTCGCTTGTCCCACAGAGCTTACAAGAGGGGGCTTTCTCTTCTTTAGTGGACGCTAGCACCATTTCTCATTATCAAGAACAAATAAGCATTGATATGGAAGGCGGCTGCTTCCAAGAGTGTTTGCTAAATCTACTCAACTGATTCCAAAGGTAAATTGCTCAGCCCCCACAACCAATCCCGCATCCCACTGAGTACCAGGAAAAAGCAGAAAA